TAATAATAATAATAATAATAATAATAATAATAATAATAATAATAATAATAATAATAATAATAATAATAATAATAATAATAATAATAATAATAATAATAATAATAATAATAATAATAATAATAATAATAATAATAATAATAATAATAATAATAATAATAATAATAATAATAATAATAATAATAATAATAATAATAATAATAATAATAATAATAATAATAATAATAATAATAATAATAATAATAATAATAATAATAATAATAATAATAATAATAATAATAATAATAATAATAATAATAATAATAATAATAATAATAATAATAATAATAATAATAATAATAATAATAATAATAATAATAATAATAATAATAATAATAATAATAATAATAATAATAATAATAATAATAATAATAATAATAATAATAATAATAATAATAATAATAATAATAATAATAATAATAATAATAATAATAATAATAATAATAATAATAATAATAATAATAATAATAATAATAATAATAATAATAATAATAATAATAATAATAATAATAATAATAATAATAATAATAATAATAATAATAATAATAATAATAATAATAATAATAATAATAATAATAATAATAATAATAATAATAATAATAATAATAATAATAATAATAATAATAATAATAATAATAATAATAATAATAATAATAATAATAATAATAATAATAATAATAATAATAATATGATAATAGCTTAGCTTGTTACGTAGTACTCCCTCCGTCCCCTTTTAAATGGGACGGGAGATGGTGGCACGGGTTTTAAGAAAAGTGAGTTTGTGTGGTTGATATTAATTGATAAAGTAAGAATAAAGTAAGAATGATTTTGAGTCACACAAAGTTTACCAAATAAGGTATGGGGCAATTAAATAGGGACATCCCAATATAGTAAAACGGGACATTTAAAAGGGGACGGAGGGAGTATATAAGTATATTTGCTAAGCAAAAAAAACTGAGGAAAGATTAGAGCATTGGAAAAAAAATAAGAACCGTGTGAGTTTGTTGGAGTAATTTATTTGACATCAGTTAACTTACGGTCCGATGCAAATTTATTAGGTATTAAAGATGGTGAGGCACAATGATATTAGCTCAAAGTACAAGTTTACATCAGCTCAAAGTACAAGTTTACACCAACACATTTTTGATATCTAAAGTGCCTTTACCCTCATTCACTATTATAATATTTTAGATTACTTAATTACTTGTTTAATAATAAAAATCATACGATAGTATTTGTTTTTTTTTTTTTGACAATTCTTTCTAACATATATAGTATCTGCTCATTGTTAACGCCAACATCCTTGAACTAGGATGTGATTCGAACTTGTGACCTCCTCCTTAAAAGTGTCACAATGATGCATCAGACCACAAGATACTTGGCCATGATAGTATTTGTTCTGAAATGGTCTATTAAGAAGAATTGTTTAAAAATTAAGAAGGTAAAAAGGAAGAGTTGAAGTGGTCTATTACGGAGTATTTGTTTGTTCTGAAAATATGTCAGATTGGGGAAATAGTAGACAACCTTACCATTTACAGTGAAGTTAGAGCTGCTAGTGCAGGGCGTGCAGCTAATGGCCTTCGAAGAATCTGAAGACGATGGTCTCATACTCTCATGGTTTTAAAATTACACCTCAGAATCCCATGACTATCACCTCGGATTAAATTCGTCGTACTATCCAAACAGAACATTTCTTCATCAGTTTGAATTTGACGTTCCAGCTGTAAAATTAAAATACAAAATTTGTTTAAATGGGTGCACTGTAGAAAATTCGTTTGAGGAAGAAGAACACCTTGGACTAGCAAAATCGGAAACGTTAGATGCTCTGCATTTTTCTTTTGTTCGGGAGATGTCAAGTGACGAGGGGAAGAAGAGGGACTACGGGTAGAATGGGAAAATCCTGGAGATACGCGAACGGCCGAACAGTAAACGTTGTGTTTACTGGCATTTTTATTTTTAGCTGTTTGGAATGAAAAGCCAAATGAAAAGGTCATTTAACCAAACACACTATTAACTAATTAATTTGGTTAAAAAGCTAAATAATGATCAAAACATCCAAAAATTGGCTGATCAGCCACTAATTAAGCAATCACCTTTCGAATGTATGGATCACAATTCACAAGTGCATCTTGCCGTCTTGTATTGAAAAATAGAAAGCGTATACAAAACCTAATTTGTAGCTAAGTATGCCACAAAAACTCCAATACATTATGTATTTATGTAAAGGTAATAGCGTTTCTAATGTAATTATAAGAAATATTTTAAGTAACTACTCCATAATATACCACAAAGAGAGAATGCTCTAAACAGGATTAAAACAATTTTAAAATGCATAAATGCGCCTTCTATGTTTTATAAGACAAATATATAAATATGACAAAAATTACCTTTAGTGAAACAAAATATAATGTTTTTCCGGGCTCTGGCAAGTCCTCTGCCAATTCCGTGTAAATTTTTTTCCAAAAATATTATTTGTATCGGCCCAATCCGACCCAGTGTCCTGGCTCCGCCCTTGCAGACTAGCCCTCATCCACTCTCCATCAAGTTTGACGTCTATGTCGCCCTTCTGCGGGTTCGCCGCTACTCTTCGACAAGTCCCTCCAAACCTCCAGCGACAATGCCATTTCATAAAAATGATGACATTTTCTTGTAAAAACTGGACAGTTTCATATTTGCAAACATTAAATTTTAGATGAAAAGGGCATTTTTCAGATTCTACTTTTCATGGGAAAATATGTAATCATCAAATTAAAATTGTAAATCTAAACTATGAGAAGAAAATGAAAAGTTGGAAATAATAATGCTTTTTATATTACGTAGTATTACTTTATTAGTGTAAAAATGTCATGATTGTCATCCTTTGACAAACAAGTCAGCTAAAGAATAAGGCATTACAAATACTATAATTTCAAAGTGAGATTGTCATCTTAATAAATGTACTGTCACAAAAGTGGATTTTTTTCAAATAACCAATAATCATGTCATTTTGAGATTCCAAAAGTGACATTTTTATAACTAGTAGTCATGTCATTTTTAGATTCAAAATTGATAAATACACTAACATTCAAATTTAGATATTTCTGATCACATGTCCTTAATAGCAATGTAGCTCTTGAGAATGTTAACGAATTATAGGAAAAAAACAGAAAGCATAGAGAACCGGGTAGAGGATGAGAAGAGGAGAAGAAGATGATGAAGAAGATAAGAGGAGGAGGAGGAGGAGGAGGAGGAGGAGGAGAAATCGTAGGCGAGGGAGCTTCGGTCGATGGTAGAGGAGAAAGAGTCGGTCACTTTTTGGAGTTCAATTATATGAAGGACAAAAATGTAATTTAGAATCCTATTTAGAGAATAATAGATTTGAAGTTTTATTTAGAAACTTTGTTTGAATGTCATATTTAGAAACTTTGACAACGTTCTAGTCCTATTTAGAGCAATGTCTTTATACAAGAAGTGAAGTCCATTTGAATCTATTGATTTTTCTCAAAAAGAAAATAATTCACATATAAAATATACTTCGTATGTCTAATCATTTATCATCAAATAAACTGCATCTCACATAACCTCTCATCTTATACTGTTCATATTTAATATTAAAATTTCCATAGTATTTGTCATATTACAATTGGAGTTTGAGGTAAATTAGGCGGTTTACATATATAAGCAAATCAATGATTGCAGTAAAAGTAGGGGATTAGATACTATATTATCTTATTTTTGTATTAAAAACTTGCTCACTTCCTTAACTCAAAATTCACTACTATTTTATCATTCAATGTATCTTTTTACCTGTTGGTTCACATTAAATAATCTCTAGCTACTCAGAGAATTTGTAAAAATAAACCAAACTTGCAATGATGCTCACATGAATATGTTGTAGCGAATTCAAACTCATGCATATTTAATACTTCAAACCCCAACCTTCACTTTCTCCTTCACCGTTCTTCTTATCGGGTGACCATTCTCTTTCAAGGTAATATGACATTTTTATCATCGCTTATTTTCTTGTCTTTCTTGATGCACACTAACTTTCTTCAGCTAAGCGAATTTCCGTTTTGCTCAAATTTTCATGCTTTCTGGCCATTAATTTCACTAAGTTTCTTAAATAGGCCGTAAAATTCCAATAAATCCAAAATATATTTGAAATTCCATTTTCTCAAACATTGGTAAGAAGAATAGGAATGTGTTTTTTGAAAATTTCAATTACTAAATTACTTTAGGAGGGCGAGTGTGTCTGTGTGTGAGTGGGTGGATGATGAATAACAAATTCAGATCATTAAGGATGTTTTTTCTTGGTCTGTAATTTGCTGGTCTGAATTGGTCTGGTCTGAACTGCTCTGGCGTGGTCTGAAATGGACCGGTTTGGTTTCTTAATATTTTTATAAATACCCAAGTATAATCTGATCTGGTCTAGAACAAATTACAATTCAAGTAAAAGCATCCTAATTGGCATCATAAAAAAACGGATGATTGACATTAATTTTGCCTTTATATAACTGGACAAAATAATTTAAAAAACTCAAATTATTAAAGGGTGTAACATAAGTACCTAAAACTTATACATGTAATATATGTATCCCAAACTTTATACAAAAGTCACGTTAGCACCATGAATATATGTTTTTTCACAAATATGATACTCCGTAGTACGGAGTATAATTTTATATTGTTAAGTACATAATTTAAAATACACTAAACATTTATTGGAATGCATATAAAATTAAATTGTACCAGATGTAATATTATTTTGTTCACGAATTAAATTTTAGAATGTCAATTACATCCTAACAAAGCTTTAAAGTATTTTAAATTATGTAATTATTTCAATACATTCATATTTTTAAAAAAACATACACACATGATGTGAAAATAATTTTTTTATATAAAGTTTAGAGCATATATATATTACATCTGCAAATGCGGGTACTATATAATTTCTTAAGTATTTTTCAATACATATCTCACGTTCCAATAAAGTTTGTGTTATTTATTTTATTTTGCCCTACATAATTCCCCAAAATTTGAGATTTTGGGACACAATAAAGAAAATGCGGGAAATGAAAGGAGAGCTTGCCTCCGCATAAATTCGAGAGCAAGTGGACTCCTTCAATTCCTGTGAAGAACCCAAACCGCGAAACTGCCGCAGCTCTTCCCCGCCGGTAGAAATGGAGGCGTTTGCTGCATCTTCATCTGGTTCAAATGGGCCGGGTCACATTGGCATAGCCGAATCATCCATAAGGCTCCCTCTTCTCTACTTCTCGTTGATGCTTGTTTGGTTTCTTTCTGTTTGTTCATGGACCTATCACACTTGCCGCACCCGCCATTTTCAGGTTCCTATTGTGCTATTATTAATAGTTTATTTTTTGCTTTTCTATTTTATTTCTTGTATTTTGGGTTGTGAAATAATAAACCCCTGGTGCTAAAATTTGAAAGCAACTGCTTATTGCACAGCCTGATCAAAGTTTCTACATTGGTTGATTAAGTGATATTTGTGAGTTTCAATATTGTTTGAGTCCCGATATATTAAATTTAAACCTAAGATTTCATTTTTATGATGTTGATTTGGAGCCTCACCACTAAATGATATGGTACTAGATGGGGCTGGTGCTGGTACAATTGTGATTTCACTGTTTTTCTAGCACTTGTACTTTTATGTATTCACTATTAGAATCATATCTTTCCAACACCCCGAATGTATGAAATTAGTATTAGAACTAATTAAGCTCAAGTGAGCAAATTTAAAAAGACCACACAATTCCAGATTATCTACTTCAACGGGCCACGGTCTTACCTAAGACTATTCCTCAAAAATGAGTTCATCAAACCTTGGACTCAACTAAATAAACAATTGAATTCAATTGTTGTAAGAAAAACAATTCGATCTGATCTTTGGATTGAAATAGATAGTAGATTTGATTCATCTTTTACCATAGTCCAGGAACCAAAATTTTAGAGAGAAACATGTTTTGGTAAGAATTTACTTCTCAGCAAGGACATACTCCTATAGCTTGTTTTTGTTCAGCTCATGTTTCCTACTTTCTTGTTTATTTGTAATATCGAATATTCTTCACATTGCAGATAAATAAATTGCAGTGGACATTAACTTCTGTTCCCCTAATCAAAGCTTTACAACTTATGCTATGCTTCCTCTTCTGGTATGCCTTTTACCTATATTTATGCATGCATCTAGCGCCATATTATGTACTCTATTAATTGTGGTTTTTTTCGTTTTGATTGATTGTTTGATTCTATTGTTTTGCAGGTCTTCATGCTTCTATGAACATGTATGCTCGTTGCGGATATCTTTTGGGGTATATTTGACAGGAGTCCTTTCTCAGGCAGTGACATTTGTTGCATTCTTAATTATCTCTCATGGATATTGCATCACCCGTGAGAGTCTTTCTGTATTTGACCGTCGAACTACTGCTTCCCTTGGCTGTGTTTTCTACTTAACTCTTATTGGCTATCGAGCTTCCATACCTTATTTCTCAGTGAGTTTCTTCACTGTGCTCATATGTGTTTTACTATTAAGAGTTAAAGTTTCATCCTAAAAACTGAAACTGATATGGTTGCGTAGCTCAAGGCCTAGTATGTTTCTTTGTTCCTCTCACATCCAGATACATTAGTTGAACCGTGAAATTCTTTCTCACATCCACACCTCCTCCAGCCAACCAACATCTTATCTAGCCCATGCATTTTTTTTACTTTTTCATATGAGACCACATCTATCGTACTAAGACTCATAATTCTGTCCTAAAAGACGAATAAGCACAAGATATTTCTACTTAGTTTCTGATCAATATCTAGCCGATGTAGGTCAAACATCTATAAAGCCAAGTCCTAGAATAAAAAATTGTGTAAGCCTTGGGGTTACTCCCCTCATGGAATGAATATAAGATATAAAATGCATGTTACGATCATCTGTATGGTAACCACAAGTGCATGTTAGGTCATCTTATTCTTTCATGTTGATGTTTTAGTACATATCTCAATTCTGAATAAATACTATTACAGTTAACAGATAAAATCAAGTGGCTCGGGTTTTCTTTATTTGATGTGTCATAACTTTTATCATTGTGTTTTATAGGTTCTCCTAGCACTCAACTATTCCGTTCTGTTTTATGTGATATTCAGCCACATATCTCAGAACTTGTTGCTATTACGGGAACAATTGACCATTGTTGAAAATGAGGTTATCCCTGGTATGCACGATGCGATATACATGAAGTATACTATGCTGAAGTATGTAGCTGCCTTTTTTCAGTTATTATTTTAGTTGTAAGCATATTAAAGAAACCATGTAATTTTCTACAACCATTTGCTAGATGGAGATTACACTTTTTTTGTTACAGGAAATTTCAATGTGCTATGCATATTGTGGCTGTTGCAGAACTTGCAGTTATGATATCTCACTTTTATCTATGTATTCAAATAATATCAAATGATATCCCACATTATGGTTGGGGGAAAAGTAATACCCACAACAACAACATCCAAGCTTTAGTCTCAAAAGTAATACTCACTATGTCCCTTTATTATCTTCTCCTTTGACCTAACATAATTTTTCAGAATGTAGAAAATGTATGGTGGATATTTGTCTAAATGGAGAAACAATATCAACAACAAAATCCTTATCTATAACAAAAAGAAGATAATTAAAGGACATCATCATCATCATCATTACCCAGTGCCGCAAAGGCTCCCACCTGCGGTGGGATTAGGGGGGTCGGATGTACGCAGTCTTACCCCTGTACTAAAGCACAGAGAGACTGTTTCCGAATGACCCATAGTGAAAATCGCGCCGAAAATTAAAGGACGGATGAAAAAAGAAAGAGTGAAGATAAAACAGGGACAAACGAAGTAATTTAAAAAGGAAGTAGAGTATAGAGTTCTTTGCTCTTTAAGTATGGTGTTTTTACTCTCCAGATATTCATAAACATGGAAAGTTTGGTGGATTCCTACTGGCTTCGGTTGTTGATTCGTGAATGGGCACACTTCTCTATTATTTTATTTATTGGGTAATTTCTAGTCTAGTAAATAAAAACTGAAAGTGGTGTACTTGGTATAGTAGGTGTGTTCGCATATACTGATAGGTTTTAATTTATTAGTAATACTTGCCTCAGGTGGACTTTTAAATCAAAAGACTTGGGATCGAATTTTGATGTAATATTAAAACCTGAAGGCAAGAGAATATTGCCTCCTATCTACAGCATTGTAAGTTAAATTTAATGACAGTAAGTTTTATTGAGTCTGAGTGATAATGTGAGATTACATAGTTCTCTATCTGTCTTATCTTCCCCTTTTTGTAATGATAATATTAAGGGTGAAAATCAAAACCCTAAAGGTCACCTAAACAATGATTAAAGTATTTACAGGAAATGGATGGAGCTACATTCAGAGACTTCAACAGCCAAGAGTGGCACATTGGTGTGGTAAGTATAAACTATTAGACTAGAGAAATTTACCCATTTATGATTCATAATCATGATCTAAAACTATGGGGTTTTCTTATAATAATACTAAAATAAGAATCAGACTAAAATATGACTATCTGGTCACTTGAGTCAATGTAAAAGTACCACTTTGATAATTGCTGTGTAAAATTAAATAACACTGCGCTCGATACAGGTACTGCAGAAATATCACTATACTCTGTATCAAAGCTCACATTCTTGTCCGATGTTTTTGTTTTAGTCATATATTAGGCATTATTTTGGAAAAACTATCTTAAAAGCTTTGGGGTTTGTTCCATCTCAATTATTACCATTCATTATATTTTGATTGTATTCAAATTCTTCACAATGTGGATTGTCATTGTAACTAGTTCACTAAGTTCAGTTTCCAAATTGTAAACTTGCAGCCGACTTCATCTTCCAAAACGGGAAGCTTGCCAGGTTCAGTTTTTGTTGTAATTCAGCACCCCCGCATAATGAAGTCAATATCAGCTCTCACCACATCATGAACTCATCCTGAAAAGTGTCGATAGAAGAAGATTGGAAACTAATGAAGTATCAAGACATTGAGTTGATAATAGTATACCTATAAGGCTATAACTATAACTATGAAATGTTCGAATTCAAATTTTGGTAATTTTTATGTAAATATTCATAGACTCCACAAATAGCAAAGGCAAGATGTGTAGTGCCAGCCTGCAAAAAGTTTTATAGACAAACTTATGGCTACAGAGTACAGAATTACAGATGGTTGAATTAATGCACATCCTAAGACAAAACCACCAAATAATGAAATGGTCAATGCAAATTCTAATAATGAAAATACTTGATTGAAGACTGCCAAAATGTTTCTACATAAGCGCCAGACAACTTCCATTGAAATCAAATGCTAACATCCAAATAAATTACATAGCACTAGCAAAATCAATTATCTTCTATTAAATGATTATTATATGATTATACATTCATACCTATATTTTAAACTAATTTCAGAAAGGTAGAAAGCAAAAAAAAAAGTGTTATTGACTACTTATAATTGCCATCAAATATTCAAATCAACACCAAAGAGAATCACTTGTCTCCAGGGAATATCAGAATAATTTCAATCAGATTCTCTATAATCTATAACAATGGTTTTACATGCCCGTGCAGTAAACCTCAAAATAACACCCAAAAAAATGAAACAATTCCTGAAAGTTACAAGGAAAAGAAATCATTTAAGATATCTTCACTTTTCTATCCTTACATCCTAATTTTCTTCAGAAGAGGTTTCTGCATCATATTGCTTCCCAAATCTGAGTTCAGACAAGTCTTGCTTTGCCATTAGGTTTCTGCAAACCCTCATGTATGCACGGAGCATTGCTCAATATTTAAATTCTGAAATCTTATAACAAATTGCAATCCAGATGTAAGAAATGATCTTACTTCTCCATTCGACATTTCAGATACTTCTTTGAGAATTGTCTACACCTTTCCGATTGGTGTCCAGAAGTTTTCAAACAGCTGAGGTAATCTTTCTTCTCCTAAATACAGCCAGCACAATGACACCCAAAACACCTTAGATAAGACAAAACTTAAATAAACTAGACAATATCAGACTCCGGTTAAAGAGACCAAACCAACATTAAATAATACTCAGTAATAAATAAAATACACATAATATCAAATCAAAACATAACACATTAACTAGAACATACACATTAACTAAAACAAACTAAACCAAACATGAACAAACAAGTTCAGCAAACCAGAAAATTTCAATACAAATGAGCAAGTCCAGATGAATTGCAAAGAAATGTAAAGAAAATCTAGGTTATACAAACATACCGAGTCACATAAATGTGAGTGGTCTAAAGGAAAACCTCCCTTTTCAGGTGGCACGGGCCTCAATCCTCTATTTCCACCAAATGCCCCTCCTTCAAACGGTTAAACGTATGCATCAGATGAGCTTAGGCAATCGAAATGAATAAAGAGGGAGTGGCTTCACTGGCATTAGTCATTCACCCTTTGTAGGACGAAAAAAGATCATAAAGATTTTTCACGATCTCTCCAAAGTGCAATCACAAATTGAGAGCCAATTTGATCTCATCATATCTTACTGTATTTCGTTCCATTGAAACCGTTTTCTATCTCGTTGTAAAACTCATCTTCAGGCAATTGTTTCAAAATCTTACGGGATGATTACCTAATGAACTGATATTACTTTCTGACATAGAGACTCTTCGGCAGATTAGAAAGAACATTCCCTTGACTTTTACTTTTTTACTTTCCTTTTGGGGTTATCCCAGAATAAGTGTCATGTTTCCTTTTTGGAAAGAAATATGCGTCCATGACATTTCAATTTATTATACTCAAATTTCAACCAAAACACAAGTCCACAACTTTTAGTTTTCCAATCACTTTATTAATTATTTAATTATTGTGCCAAATCAAAAAGAGACATAAAATGAGACGAATGTGGTATTTTGTGAAACTCTTGATTATGATGAACTCTTTATTAGCAGCAAATACTTCATTCCTCCAAAAAATGGAGATGTTTCAATTTCATAATACAGAATATAAGGGGAATGATATAAAAGCATGATCATAAACTGCTAAACTAGTAGTGGCACGGGATGATTAGCTAGACGTGGTTAGTTGAAAAATAAAAAATGTGCATGTAATAATCCATATGAAATCGTATGATAAACCCTAAAGCCTTAACGGAGAAAGACTGAAAGTTTAAAAAAGTACCTGCGCTCATTCTGAGAGGAGATAGTTTTCTAATACCTCATCCAAAGTTACCGGAGGTAGCAGTGAAATCATCGCCAATGGAGTTGGCGTTTGAGAAAAATCATACTCCGTATTTATTTGAAAAACAATTCTTTATTTTAATTATTTAATTGTTATTTGGAGAGAAAATATTTATAATTTTTTAACTAAAATTTGATTAATGATAAAAAAAAACTAAAATTTGATTTAAAAAACTAAAATTACAAAAATAGAATAATTGAAAAAAGGGTAAAAACACGATTTTTTTTTCCGAAATAATGCTAATTAAATAAATAATTCCCAAAATACTGTCGGGTTAAGAATAATTCCCAAAATACTGTTGGCATTAACCACGGTTAACAAAAGCCGCTACTCTAAGTGGCGGCTTTTCTATTGCTTCACAAAAGCCGCCACTCCAAGTGGCCACTCTCCTCTTGTAGCATGAAAGCCGCCACTCCAGGTGACGGCTCTTGTCTTCAATAATTACCACCACAATTCATTCAGCGTAAAAAACACACAAAAACATGTTCATGTTGTGAAATGAAGAAGATGCAGAATAGATTAAAGAGATAGATATATTATTAATAAGCTCTAAATTACTTCTTCTTAATATCTGAGAATTTCTGAATTTCTGAGTTACATTTACTAGTTGGCTAGGAGATGAATCATCAAAGAATGATTCTACATAATTTGCTAACACCATTAAACCTAGCCATCTGTCTATTACAAGGACTAGAATTGGATTTGTGTCCTGATGACAAGGATGAACAATTCACACTTGTCCTTCTCAGCAATTTACAACTCTCCCCCTTGAATGTTCATCCTTGAATAGATATTTGTTATATTAAAAGTTATTTATGAAAATTTTAAAGTTTAAGGGGTAAGAACTACGAAATATAGGGTATGTTTGGCAAATGGCTTATCAGCCGGCTTTTAGCTTGTTTGACCCATTTCAGCTGTTTGATTGGTCAAAGAAGCTAATAATGATGTTTGGTAAATGGCTTTTAAAATTAGCTTGTTGAGTTTGAAAAGCTGAAAAAATGGATTGTTGAAGAAGCTAAGGGGAGCAGCTTCTTCATTCGGCTGGTTCAATTTACACTCTATCAGCCATTTCGAAACAACCAATTTTACCAAACAGTTATCTATAATCAGCTAACATAACCAGCCGGTCAAAAAAGCTAACACAACCAGCTGTTAGGAAACAGCTGACACAACCAGCTAATAACAACAGCTAACAGCCATTTGCCAAACATACCCATAATGTCGTTGTATTTGGATGTACTCTCTCGTTAAAAACCTTATCAGGAAAAACCCAGTGGGTAAGGTAGGGTACCCATTTTTCCCTACCCCACCCTACCCCTACCCTACCCTACCCACCCCCAGCCCCACCCCGCTTACCCATTTTTCCCTATAATGACCCTACCCCACCCCTACCACATGCCCCTACCTCGGCCCCACCCCGATCCACCCTACCCTACCCGCCACCCCCTACCACCTCGACGCCACCCCCGACCCACCCTACCCTACCCTCACCCGTTTATTACCCCTTACCCCTTACCACATGCCCCCTACCTCGGCCCCACCCCACCGCCATCCTACCCCCACCCTTGTACCGCCATCCTACCCCCCACCACCATCCTACCCCTCACCCTACCCTTCCCGTATCTCGGCCCAACCCGGATCCCGGGCCCACCCTACCTCCATCCTATCCCAACTCCCTACCCTACCCCTACCTTACCCAAACCCCAACCCTACCTGTCACGCCCCAGACCGCAATCCAAGCGCGTGTACAACCGCCGCATAATCAAGTGACGTCACCCGCGAGTCAACCTCACTTGATTACACAAGGCGTTCGAGAAAATAATCCATCCATACTCAGTAGTAAACATACATAACAACATCACATTTAAACCAATGAATAGCGGAAATATTCAACGGTAAGTCATAAGCCACAATCGGCCAATAACATGGGCATGCAAGCCCCAAAAGAATAGTTTATGACAAATAAAAATATCCATGAGCAATGTTTGGTAATTTGAAATAAAATGAGGAAGCACGAACCACGTCTTCCTTGATTGATGTCACCCGTAGAAAGGTGCAGGTAGCAAGCCCTAGCTTCAACCTGAAAATGGTGGGGCCCCCCGAAGGGGTCAGTACAAGTACCGAGCGAGTAGCAAGCTAAATATAGAATAACTAACGTTTCAAGTATAGGACCCAAACATAGGGTGATACATATACGTATAATCCTTCCCCCAAGTTTGAAATACATATTAGTATACATACACTTGGAAATACCCGACCCGTAGGTCATTGTTTATTTGGGAAAATAATAGTTGCCAATATCCTTGACTTAAATCCCAACCCACCCATATACCTATGAGTGTATAGAACTCCTCCTTGTTCAAATAAATTATCATAAGGACACCGCCCGGTCCTAGATCATTAACTGAAATCTATGAGTTTTGAGGATACACGCCCGATCCTTGGGTACTCCACCCTATAATTGAGTTTTGAGGATAACCGCCCGATCCTTGGGTACTCCACCCTATATAACCGAGTTTTGAGGATAACCGCCCGATCCTTGGGTACTCCACCCTATATAACCGAGTTTTGAGGATAACCGCCCGATCCTTGGGTACTCCACCCTATATAACCGAGTTTTGAGGATAACCACCCGATCCTTGGGTACTCCACCCTATATAAC